GAGAAGCAGTGATGCCTGAGATGGAGGCAGAGACGATGACGTGGAGAGATGGAGCAGCTGGGGACTTTAGACACAGAGAGGGAGAGGGGCTGTGTGCTGACGACCGGGGGGCAGGCGTGTAGTGTATACCCTGTATTTGGATGATGATGCATGGAGGGGATTATAACCATAGCAATGAAACAATATACAATAGGATGAATGTAAAACTAATGTTCTCCCATGTAAACTGTCACGTAACTCACAATAAAACATTTAAAAAAAAGAGTGCATCTTTAATAAATCCTTACTTGTTTGTTGTGTGCTGTGGGGTTTTGACACACAGCGACCCTCAAGGACAGAGCGGAACTCCCTCATACTGTTTCCAAGGCTGCTGTCTTCACGGAGGCAGAATGCCAACTTTTTCTCTCCTGGAACGGCAGGCGGGTTAGCTGAGCACTAACCACCAAACCGCCAGGGCTCCTTAAATTTTTACTTGGGTAACAGAAATTACTAAATTATTAGAAATGAAATGACCTTATTAAGGAATTTTCCTTCCTTTAATTATTGCTTGAGCTGAACATCTTCCAGGTGTGACAGCCACCAGGCATTCGTATTTTCTCAGAGTTTGATCATCTTCTCCCATTGTGAGTGCCTATATTTAGAAGGGTGTTTTCTGTCTTGTTCCCTCTCAATTTGGAAGTCAAATCTAGGCTGACATTATCTAACAAAATTCTCTAAATTACTATCTGGGATCTTACGTTTCCACTATCTGTAGTTTTACAAACGTCCTCCATGTTCCTCTCTCATGGTGGCAAAAAAAGTGACCCCTTCGGTCACTTGAAATAAAAATGTAAGAAAGCAGGATTCCAAGATGGAAATGGGAGCTGCTGGAGAAGCCAGGTATCCCCAAGGGAACAGCTTCCATTACAACCCTACAATCACAACTCACACATGAACTCAGAAACAGGTAAGCAGATTTTATTCAAACGTTACAAATCTCCTTTACATTTAGCCTGAGATTAAGCATGAGAAAGTTCAACCTGAAGTTAGACGTCATTCCCCAGACAGGTAAGCATCGGAAGGAAGAGCTGAGAACAGCATGTGTTATTCAAGCGCGAGGCCGGCAGTCCAGTGACCTTTGACCATGAACTAGGGTGCTGCAAATGGAACTGGAATCGGCTCTGGGTCACAGGGTCTTCAGAGCCGAAAAGTCCCGAGTGTTTAGT